GGTGCAAAAGTCACTCACAGATAAATCAAAAATTACGACATACAAGAGGCTCAGAGTTAGAGATCAGCGTTTTTTCAGACTCTAGGTCCACACGCCACACATCAAAAAGACAGAACATGAACCGCACGCAGCAAAAAATGATCAAGAACTATAGGTACTAATTCAGGCAGGGTGAATCAATGAAACAAAACATTGTTAATGACTTGTACTTTTGTCTGCTATACTGTATATCGTTAACCTAACTTTAAAACCCATCCATCCATCCATTTTCTACCCTTTAATCCATTTCTGGGTCAGGGGGGTGGCAATCAGAGATGCCACCCAAGTCTCATAGCACCAGCCCCTCACTGCCCCTCTGCAGGTGGTGAGTCCACAGGAGGACGGCTGCTCTCTGAGTGTGAGCATAGCCTTGATCTTTCAGTGGGGGCTTTTGGGCAAAGTGGGGTTAAGTGTCTTGCCCAAGGACACAACGACATCAGTCATCAGTGGGAGTCGGTGGAGAAGGTGTAGAGGTGGGAATTGAACCCCCGACCCTCAGGCCTGAAGGCCAATGCGTAAATGTACATGTACGTAAACGTAAATGTATTTTCACGCCTCTGTCACTTTCACCGTGAACACACAAAACAAGTGAGAATTGATAAATAAAAAATCTAACCATTATCGTCCCTCAGTGGGGAATTATCAATGTCATAGCTGTAATAAAAGAAGAAATAAGAGATTATGCCCACACCAAACCGGGTCTATTATTCCCAATAATAGATAATAAAATAATAATAAAACGATAAGATGATAAACTCTGGAGCTATAATTGCACTTGGGTCAAGGATAATATTGTGGAGTAATAATAATGATAAAAAATAATATTAATAGAAATGCAGTGGCATACTTGAATGCAAAAGTCAGATCCTGTCAGATCCTATCACAGTTCTAAGCGGGGCAGGGCCTGGTTAAAACTGTGATGGGAGACCTCTGGGAACCCCAAGTGCGAGAGTGGGGCAGCTGCGGCTGTTAAGTGCCTAGAATGTGTGTGAATAGTTGGTGATGGTCTGAGGTGAAGATTGCCTCGCTTCTGTCAGTGTGCCCCAGGGCAGCTGTGACAGTTGTAGTTTATAACCACTGTGTATGGAAAGATTAATTACATGTGAAGCTTTGAGTGTCCAAAAAAGTGCTGTCTAAATGTTATTTTAACGTATCTCTTCCCTTGATCTTATTTTATTATTAATTTGGGTCCAAGTAGTAATCACAAAGCAGACACCTACAACTACACCAAAGCAGATGTCACAAACAATTCCTTTCATTTTCACATATACAAGGAAACATACGCTTGGTAGTGCTCCACGAGGCCGTGTTCCCCAAAAGAGAAAATCACCAGACACTTTATAGACAGCATTAGAACAAAGTTAACATGTATCTAGTCTAACAAACAACAACAGAAATAAACTATTTACAGAGCCAGGCCACTGTATAGAAAGTGTCCTAAGCTCATAGAGCAATCCTACAATGACGCTTTACCCACATATAGCAGATGATGTAATAAATGTTTGGAATATTTTTTGACATGAAACTGTGATGAAAGCAATGGGGCAATGTACACTTATCCAGCCCCGGAGCTGCTTTGGTGAAATTTGGCAAAACATATCTCAATTTGAGCACATTACGACTGCCTTTATAGACAGCAGTAGAAAAAACATGTATCTACTAAGTAAATCGAGAGGATCCATACAACAAGAGATATTCTCTCTCTCTGGTCTCTCTCTGGTCTCTCTCTGGTCTCTCTCTCTGGTCTTTCTCTCTGGTCTCTCTCTCTGATCTCTCTCTCTGGTCTCTCTCTGGTCTCTCTCTGGTCTCTCTCTCTGGTCTCTCTCTCTGGTCTTTCTCTCTGGTCTCTCTCTCTGGTCTCTCTCTGGTCTCTCTCTCTGGTCTTTCTCTCTGGTCTTTCTCTCTGGTCTTTCTCTCTGGTCTTTCTCTCTGGTCTCTCTCTGGTCTTTCTCTCTGGTCTTTCTCTCTGGTCTCTCTCTGGTCTTTCTCTCTGGTCTCTCTCTCTGGTCTCTCTCTCTGGTCTTTCTCTCTGGTCTCTCTCTCTGATCTCTCTCTCTGGTCTCTCTCTGGTCTTTCTCTCTGGTCTCTCTCTGGTCTTTCTCTCTGGTCTCTCTCTCTGGTCTTTCTCTCTGGTCTTTCTCTCTGGTCTCTCTCTGGTCTCTCTCTCTGGTCTTTCTCTCTGGTCTTTCTCTCTGGTCTCTCTCTCTGGTCTTTCTCTCTGGTCTCTCTCTGGTCTTTCTCTCTGGTCTCTCTCTCTGGTCTCTCTCTCTGGTCTCTCTCTCTGGTCTTTCTCTCTGGTCTCTCTCTGGTCTTTCTCTCTGGTCTCTCTATCTGGTCCCTCTCTGATATCTCTCTCTGGTCTCTCTCTGGTCTCTCTCTGGTCTCTCTCTCTGGTCTCTCTCTGGTCTCTCTCTGGTCTCTCTCTCTGGTCTCTCTCTGGTCTCTCTCTCTGGTCTCTCTCTGGTCTCTCTCTCTGGTCTCTCTCTCTGGTCTCTCTCTCTGGTCTCTCTCTGGTCTCTCTCTCTGGTCTCTCTCTGGTCTCTCTCTCTGGTCTTTCTCTCTGGTCTTTCTCTCTGGTCTCTCTCTGGTCTTTCTCTCTGGTCTCTCTCTCTGGTCTCTCTCTGGTCTCTCTCTCTGGTCTTTCTCTCTGGTCTCTCTCTGCACACAGGTTTAAATGAGTCTTGTTCTATATAATTATCATGGAGAGACCCTGAGTCTCAGTCAGAGCTGGTGGGGTCACATAAGTCTCTCTCCTGGTGGCCTTCGTTAGTGCTGCTGTAACCACGACAACTGCAGCTCCGAGATTCTGAGCAAAAGACAAGTTTCCATCTTGACAAACGGAGAAAGGTAGTTTCTTTCAGGCAGAAATAATAGAGACATAAACCAGTGCATTCAAAAGAGCTCTCTCTGGTCTCTCTCTGGTCTCCCTCTAGTATCTTTCTGGTCTCTCTCTAGTCTCTCTCTGGTCTGTCTCTCTCTATTCTCTCTCTATTCTCTCTCTAGTCTCTCTCTGGTCTCTCTCTGGTCTCTCTTTCTGGTCTCTCTGGTCTCTCACTGGTCTATCTCTAGTCTCTCTCTGGTCTCTCTCTCTGGTCTCTCTCTAGTATCTTTCTGGTCTCTCTCTGGTCTCTCACTGGTCTATCTCTAGTCTCTCTCTGGTCTCTCTCTCTGGTCTCTGTCTAGTCTCTTTCTGGTCTCTTTCTAGTCTCTGGTCTCTCTCTGGTCTCTCTCTGGTCTCTCTCTGGTCTCTCTCTAGTCTCTCTCTAGTCTCTCTCTGGTCTCTCTCTGGTCTCTCTTTGGTCTCTCTCTAGTATCTTTCTGGTCTCTCTCTGGTCTCTCTCTAGTCTCTCTCTGGTCTCTCACTGGTCTCTCTTTGGTCTCTCTCTAGTATCTTTCTGGTCTCTCTCTGGTCTCTCTCTCTGGTCTCTCTCTGGTCTCTCTATGGTCTCTCTCTGGTCTCTCTCTGGTCTCTGAGACTAGACCCAGACACCCAGACCTAAATCAGACCAAGACCAAGACCAGACTTTGACCAAGACCCGGTCAAGACTTGGATCTTGACCAACACCAGAAAAACAATCCAATCTGGACGAGACCAGAGCTGGAAGAACACCATATCCAAGACAAGACCCAGAACAAGAAAAGATCCACACAAAGACCAAACTAAGACCAGACTAAGACCAGACCAAGACCAGACCAAGACCAGAACCGGACCATGCTGTTTGAGTCATGTTTTCTGTTCCCTCTCCCTCGGTGCACCTGGAGAGGATCCTGCAGTGGCATGTGTGGAGACAGGGTTTGTGCCTCATAGAGGAGGCCTGTGGGCTGTGTCTCCCAGGATAACACCGCAGAGAGAGGGGGGAGGCGGGGGAGGCAGCGGGAGGAGGCCTGAGGAGAATACTAAACCAGGGAGAACGGGTGAGGCGAGGCGAGGGTGAGTGACGGACGGCCACGGAGACAAGACTCATTTACAGTCCACAACTGAAGGCGTCTGCTCAGACAGGGGAGACTGAGGAGAGAGAGCGGGGGAGGGGGGAGAGGGGGGAGAGGGGTGGAGACTGAGGAGAGAGAGGCAGAGGAGAGAGAGAGATGGGAGGGAGACTGAGGGGGGAGAGAGGGGGGAGAGGGTGAGACTGAGGACAGAGAGGGGGAGAGGGGGGGGGAGAGGGGTGGAGACTGAGGAGAGAGAGGCAGAGGAGAGAGAGAGAGGGGGGAGGGGGGGACTGAGGAGAGAGAGGAGGGAGTGAGGGGGGAGAGAGAGGGGGGAGAGGGTGAGACTGAGGACAGAGAGGGGGGAGAGGGGAGACTGAGGAGAGAGAGGGGGGGGAGAGAGAGGCAGAGGAGAGAGAGAGAGGGGGAGGGAGACTGAGGAGAGAGAGGGGGGGGAGATGAGGAGAGAGGGGCAGAGTAGAGAGAGAGAGGGGAGGGAGACTGAGGAGAGAGAGGGGGGGGGAGAGGGGGGAGAGGGGGGGGGGACTGAGGAGAGAGGGGGGGAGAGAGGGGGGGAGAGGGGAGAAAGGGAGAGGAGGGGAGACTGAGGAGAGAGGGGGAGAGGAGAGAGAGAGAGGAAAGGAGGAGACTGATGAGAGAGGGGGGAAGGGGGAGACTGAGGAGAGAGAAGAGGGGAGAGGAGAGAATAGTGAGAGAGAGGAAGGGGGAGACTGAGGAGAGAGGGGGGAAGGAGGAGGACTGAGGAAAGAGGGGGGAAGGGAGGAGACTGAGGAGAGAGGAGAGAATAGAGAGAGAGAGGAAGGGGGAGACTGAGGAGAGAGGGGGAAGGGAGGAGACTGAGGAAAGAGGGGGGAAGGGAGGAGACTGAGGAGAGAGGAGAGAATAGAGAGAGAGAGGAAGGGGGAGACTGAGGAGAGAGGAGAGAGAGGAGAAGCAGAGATATCAGACAGATGGAGGATGTGCTGAGAAAGTCCTAGTGAAGGTGAGAAGAGGGTTTCCACGGTGACGCATGAATGAGTGATGATGGAGACAAGAACAGGGGTGAGGAGGGAGGGGGGAGGGGGAAGGAGAGAGGGGTGAGGAGGGAGGGGGGAGGGGGGAGGGGGGAGTCGCCGGGGGACTGGTTAAACTTTCATACGGACATGCTGTCACACTGATTGAGCCTCATGTCATAAAACTGTCCTTAACAGTGGAGTGTCTCAGCAAGAGGACCAAACCTGGCGCCCCCTCATGACCTGGCACCCCCTCCTGATCTGGTGCCCCCTCCTGACCTGGCACCCCCTCCTGACCTGGTGCCCCCTCCTGACCTGCAACCCCCTCCTGACCTGGCGCCCCCTCCTGACCTGGCACCCCCTCCTGACCTGGTGCCCCCTCCTGACCTGGCACCCCCTCCTGACCTGGTGCCCCCTCCTGACCTGGCGCCCCCTCCTGACCTGGCGCCCCCTCCTGACCTGGTGCCCCCTCCTGACCTGCAACCCCCTCCTGACCTGGCACCCCCTCCTGACCTGGAAACCCCCTCCTGACCTGGTGCCCCCTCCTGACCTGGTGCCCCCTCCTGACCTGGCAACCCCCTCCTGACCTGGTGCCCCCTCCTGACACATCCCCCCGCACCTTCTGTCTGAACGCTCTGCTCTCAAACTACGTCAAAGAAGAAGCCATTGTTTGTTATAGTTTTCATTCAAAAGATAAAACCAATTTATCATTTCTGCTGCAAGACAAGTGTGTGTGTCTGTGTGTGTGTGTGTCTGTGTTAGTGTGTGTGTCTGTGTGTGTGTGTGTGTGTGTCAGTGTGAGTGGAGTGATTAGCCGTGCTTCTAATCACATCCTCCGTGGCTGGGTCATGACCACAGTTGCTTCTGTCTTTGGTGTTTTTAGACTTTTGTGTCATTTTGATTTTTTTTTTTACAGTGTTCTTCTCATGCACCATGTGTGCTTCAACAATACCATAAAACCACTGGAAACAAGCAACAGTGTTTAGTCTCTGGCCTCTCTCTAGTCTCTCTCTCTCTCACTGGTCTCTTCCTAGTCTCTCTCTGGTCCTCCTCTAGTCTCCCTTTAGTCTCTCCCGCTAGTCTCCTTCTAACCTCTCCCTCTGGTCTCCCTCTAGTCCCTCCCTCTAGTCTCCTTCTGGTCTCCAAACGCCGTACCATGTGTGAGCCACGGTGAACCTCCTCTGCTTGTGTATGTTGTTGTTGAGCAGCATGCGCCGGAGCAGTCTCGGCGAGTTCCGCGGCGAGAGTCTGGGCGAGATGGAGGAGGGCGACCTGCGGTGTCCTCGCGGTCTCTCCGGCTGCAGCAGGTTCTCTCTCAGGATCTTCACCAGGTCCTCGTTCAGACCCGAGTGCTTCGGCATCGGCGGCACGGCCAGAGTGTCCTGGTGCCCCGCCCCCTGCGCCATGGCGAGACTCCGGCGAGATTCAGGCCAGAGAAGGACCAGGGAACGTAGACTTTAGCTTACGCGGCGTTCCCGGCGTCATTCACACGTTAGCATTAGCCACATCGCCGCTAACGGAGAGAAATGGCGGTCGGTTCTCAGCTCGGGACGGTCCTCTGAGTCTTGCGATCAAGACCTACGAGATCAAATCCAGAATCATCTCGTAGAAACCAGAGTCGTTTGGCTTTTACAACCAAGAGAGAGATCCATCAAGAGGCTTCTCCCGGTGAAGAGGACGAGAGAGACCAAGGTGCGAGACCAAGGTGTGAGACCAAGGTGCGAGACCAAGGTGCGAGATTGTCACCTCAGAGTCCAACCGGTCCTGTCCGGTCCGAGCGGTCGCATCCAAAACTCAATTTGATCCCAACGACAATTGGTTCAATATTCTCTGGTCTCTCTCTAATTCTCCCTGGTGTCTATCACTGGTGTCTCTCTTTCTGTTCTCTTTCTCTCTACACTCTCTCTCTCTTTGCTCTCTCTCTCTGCTCTCTCTCTGGTTCTCTTTCAGCTCTCTCTCTCTGCTCTCTCTACACTCTCCCTCTCTTTGCTCTCTCTCTGCTCTCTCTCTGGTTCTCTTTCAGCTCTCTCTCTCTGCTCTCTCTACACTTTCTCTCTTTGCTCTCTCTCTCTGCTCTCTCTCTGGTTCTCTTTCAGCTCTCTCTCTCTCTGCTCTCACTACACTCTCTCTCTTTGCTCTCTCTCTCTGCTCTCTCTCTGGTTCTCTTTCAGCTCTCTCTCTTCTCTCTCTACACTCTCTCTCTTTGCTCTCTCTCTGCTCTCTCTCGCTCTCTCTACTCTCTCTACTCTCTCTCTACTCTCACTCTACTCTCTCTCTGTTGCTCCCGACGCCAAATTGGTTCAAAAATCCATTCCCACGGTTTCCCCTCGAAGCTCTCCTCTTGCTCAATGAATCCAAATTCAATTCCAACGTTGTCAAGTTTCACGGTTCCCCCCAAAATAAATCCAACACGTCCTGGTCTCCTCCTGGTCTCCTTCTGTTCTCCTGGTCTCCTCCTGGTCTCCTGGTCTCCTCCTGGTCTCCTGGTCTCCTTCTGTTCTCCTGGTCTCCTCCTGATCTACTGGTCTCCTTCTGTTCTTCTGGTCTCTTCTAAGAAATCCTGATGCACGCGTCTCTGCATCTACAGAGAGACCAGAGCGAGCCACGGGAACCTCCTCTCTCCTCGTCGTGTTGGAGAGAGTGCGCATACAGAAGCAGCCGGAGCGTGTGTGTCTGTGTGTGTGTCTGTGTGTGTCAGTGTGTGTGTGCGTGTGTGTGTGTGTGTGTGTGTGAGGACTGGGAGGGAGGCTCAGTCTTCTCTTTGTAAACGCAGTCACTTAATCAAACACATAAGGAGCATTCTTGGTCATATTTAATTGTGTATGTAAATGAGTGTGTGTGTGTGTGTGTGTGTGTGTGCGTGGGTGTGTGTCTGCCTTTGTGTGTGTGCGTATGTGTAAGTAATCTTTAGTAAGTAAGTAATCTTTATTTATATAGATTTATGTATGTGTGCGTCTATGTGTGTGTGTGTTTGCCCATGTGTGTGTGTGTGTGTGTGTGTGTGTGTGGGTGTGTGTGGGTGTGTGTCTGCCTTTGTGTGTGTGCGTATGTGTAAGTAATCTTTAGTAAGTAAGTAATCTTTATTTATATAGATTTATGTATGTGTGCGTCTATGTGTGTGTGTGTTTGCCCATGTGTGTGTGCGTGTGTGTGTGTGTGTGTGTTTGCCCATGTGTGTGTGTGTCTGTCTGTGTGTGTGTCTGTGTGTGGGTGTGTGTTTGCCTGTGTGTGTGCGTATGTGTAAGTAATCTTTAGTAAGTAAGTAATCTTTATTTATATAGATTTATTTATGTGTGCGTCTATGTGTGTGTGTGTTTGACCATGTGTGTGTGCATGTGTCTGTGTGTGTGTGTGTTTGCCCATGTGTGTGTGTGTGTGTGTGGGTGTGTGTCTGCCTGTGTGTGTGTGCGTTTGTGTGTGTATGTGTGTGTGTGAGTGTGTGTGTATGTGTGTGTGCGTGTGTGTGCGTGCGTTTGTGTGTGTATGTGTGTGTGTGTGAGTGTGTGTGTGTGCTGGCCCATGTGTGTGTCTGTGTGTGTGTATGTGCGTGTGCGTGTGTGTGTGTGTGTGTGTGTGTCTGTGTGTTTGCTCATGTGTGTGTGTGTGCTGGCCCATGTGTGTGTCTGTGTGTGTGTATGTGCGTGTGTGTCTGTGTCTGTGTGTGTGTGTGTGTTTGCGTAGCTCCATCTGTGTTCCTCACAAAAACCATGAGTGAGTTATTGAGTAACTGCAGAGCTGCTCCTCCTGACGACCATGAACAAATGTACCATAAAGGATAAAAAACCATAAACACACAATCCTTGTGCTCTGAGACAAAAGTGAACGATCCTTGAATGAAGTCGAGGCTGAAACTTTTCACTTTATTCAAAAACGTTCAAAAATATTTGCACTGGAGGCAATTTTCTACAAGTCAGATGCAGTTCCTCTGACCGCCACCAGAGAGAGACCAGAGAGAGACCAGAGAGAGACCAGAGAGACACCAGAGAGAGACCAGAGAGACACCAGAGAGACACCAGAGAGAGACCAGAGAGAGACCAGAGAGAGACCAGAGAGAGACCAGAGAGAGACCAGAGAGAGACCAGAGAGAGACCAGAGAGAGACCAGAGAGAGACCAGAGAGACACCAGAGAGAGACCAGAGAGACACCAGAGAGAGACCAGAGAGACACCAGAGAGAGACCAGAGAGAGACCAGAGAGAGACCAGAGAGAGACCAGAGAGAGACCAGAGAGAGACCAGAGAGACACCAGAGAGAGACCAGAGAGACACCAGAGAGAGACCAGAGAGACACCAGAGAGAGACCAGAGAGACACCAGAGAGAGACCAGAGAGACACCAGAGAGAGACCAGAGAGACACCAGAGAGAGACCAGAGAGACACCAGAGAGAGACCAGAGAGAGAGACCAGAGAGAGACCAGAGAGAGACCAGAGAGACACCAGAGAGAGACCAGAGAGACACCAGAGAGAGACCAGAGAGACACCAGAGAGACACCAGAGAGAGACCAGAGAGAGACCAGAGAGAGACCAGAGAGAGACCAGAGAGACACCAGAGAGAGACCAGAGAGAGACCAAAGAGACACCAGAGAGAGACCAGAGAGAGATCAGAGAGACACCAGAGAGAGACCAGAGAGAGACCAGAGAGACACCAGAGAGAGACCAGAGAGAGACCAGAGAGAGACCAAAGAGACACCAGAGAGAGACCAGAGAGAAACCAGAGAGACACCAGAGAGAGACCAGAGAGAGAGACCAGAGAGAGACCAGAGAGAGACCAGAGAGACACCAGAGAGAGACCAGAGAGACACCAGAGAGAGACCAGAGAGAGACCAGAGAGACACCAGAGAGAGACCAGAGAGAGACCAGAGAGAGACCAAAGAGACACCAGAGAGAGACCAGAGAGAGACCAGAGAGAGACCAGAGAGACACCAGAGAGACACCAGAGAGAGACCAGAGAGAGACCAGAGAGGGACCAGAGAGGGACCAGAGAGAGACAGAGAAAAACCAGAGAGAGAGACCAGAGAGAGACCAGAGAGACACCAGAGAGAGACCAGAGAGACACCAGAGAGACACCAGAGAGAGACCAGAGAGAGACCAGAGAGAGACCAGAGAGAGAGACCAGAGAGAGACTAGAGAGAGACCAGAGAGAGACTAGAGAGAGACCAGAGAGAGACCAGAGAGACACCAGAGAGAGACCAGAGAGACACCAGAGAGAGACCAGAGAGAGACCAGAGAGAGACCAGAGAGAGACCAGAGAGAGACCAGAGAGAGACCAGAGAGAGACCAGAGAGACACCAGAGAGAGACCAGAGAGACACCAGAGAGAGACCAGAGAGACACCAGAGAGAGACCAGAGAGACACCAGAGAGAGACCAGAGAGACACCAGAGAGAGACCAGAGAGACACCAGAGAGAGACCAGAGAGACACCAGAGAGAGACCAGAGAGAGAGACCAGAGAGAGACCAGAGAGAGACCAGAGAGACACCAGAGAGAGACCAGAGAGACACCAGAGAGAGACCAGAGAGACACCAGAGAGACACCAGAGAGAGACCAGAGAGAGACCAGAGAGAGACCAGAGAGAGACCAGAGAGACACCAGAGAGAGACCAGAGAGAGACCAGAGAGAGACCAAAGAGACACCAGAGAGAGACCAGAGAGAGATCAGAGAGACACCAGAGAGAGACCAGAGAGAGACCAGAGAGACACCAGAGAGAGACCAGAGAGAGACCAGAGAGAGACCAAAGAGACACCAGAGAGAGACCAGAGAGAAACCAGAGAGACACCAGAGAGAGACCAGAGAGAGAGACCAGAGAGAGACCAGAGAGAGACCAGAGAGACACCAGAGAGAGACCAGAGAGACACCAGAGAGAGACCAGAGAGAGACCAGAGAGACACCAGAGAGAGACCAGAGAGAGACCAGAGAGAGACCAAAGAGACACCAGAGAGAGACCAGAGAGAGACCAGAGAGAGACCAGAGAGACACCAGAGAGACACCAGAGAGAGACCAGAGAGAGACCAGAGAGAGACCAGAGAGGGACCAGAGAGGGACCAGAGAGAGACAGAGAAAAACCAGAGAGAGAGACCAGAGAGAGACCAGAGAGAGAGACAGGAGAGAGACCAGAGAGGGACCAGAGAGAGAGACAAGAGAGAGACCAGAGAGGGACCAGAGAGGGACCAGAGAGAGACAGAGAAAAACCAGAGAGAGAGACCAGAGAGAGACCAGAGAGAGAGACCAGAGAATAAGTAAGTAATGTTTATTTATATAGCACATGTTACAGACTAAGGTACAGACCCAAAGCTCTTTCCAATGTTCAGAGTCAGATATTGTTCCAATCCTTCCACACACGGTGATGAAAGAAGCGAGTCCAGAACACACTGGACCATCAGCTCCAACACCATCCATTCACTCTCTCATTTACATTCAGACTATTGTACATGTTTTTAGTGGTAGGGGAAACCGCAGCACCCGGAGGAAACCAACGCAGACAAACTCCACTCAGAAAGGCCCTGTTCCGACCGGGATTCGAACCCAGGACCTTCTTGCTGAGAGGCCACCGTGCCACTCAGGGAGAGACCAGAGAGAGACCAGAGAGAGACCAGAGAGAAACCAGAGCGAGACCAGAGAGAGACCAGAGAGAGACTAGAGAGAGACTAGAGAGAGACCAGAGAGAGACCAGAGAGAGACCAGAGAGAGACCAGAGAGAGACCAGAGTGAGACCAGAGAGAGACCAGAGAGAGACCAGAGAGAGACCAGAGAGAGACTAGAGAGAGACCAGAGAGAGACCAGAGAGAGACCAGAGAGAGACCAGAGAGAGACCAGAGAGAGACCAGAGTGAGACCAGAGAGAGACTAGAGAGAGACCAGAGAGAGACCATAATGAGACTTGGGAGGAGTCTGTGTGGTTGGACTGAAAACCCTTTGGACCCGGTGAGTCCGAGTTGAAGACCTGCACTGGTTCACATTTATCTCTGACCTCGTTAGAAGTGAGAGGCTCGGGATCAGTGAGAGAGCAGAGGTTTAGACCCCTCCAAACCGGTCTGACCAAGTCCAGGTCCAGGTCTACAGCAGAGGGTTCAATTATCCACAGTTCAATATATTTGTCAGAGGAAAGTTGTGGATTCACCGACAGCAGATCAGAAAATCAAAGCGCTCGAACAGAATAACGACAAACACAAAGAAGGCACTGAAGTAAACTCTCTCCTCTCATCTCTCTCTCATCTCTCCTCTCTCTCGTCTCCTCTCTTCTCTCTCCCCTCTACCCTCTCTCCCTCTCTCTCCTGTCATCTCTCTCCCCATCTTTACCCTTGCTCTCCCTCTCCCCCCTCTCTCTCTCCTCTTGCTGCTGCTGGACTGTTGCCATGGATACTCAGACTGGCTCACGGGCAGTGTTACAGAGAAGAACACGCCACACTGCCGCCCTCTGGTGGACAAACACGGACACTGCACTGGGGACGAGGAGGAAGCTTTGTGTCAGAAGAGAAAATAATAATTCAGTAAAAAAGAAAAGGATACAAAAAGAGGGACCAGAGAGAGAGACGAAAGAGAAAGACCAGAGAGAGAGAGATCTTAGAGAGCATAGAGAGAAAAGAGAGTCTATAACTGATCTCTCTCTGCTCTCTCTCTCTGGTCTCTCCCTCTCCTGTCTCTCTCTCTCTCTCTGTTCTCTATGGTCTCTCTCTCCCCTGTCTCTTTCTCCTGTCTCTCTTTCTGCTCTCTCTCTCTCTGGTCTCTCTCTCTGGTCTCTCTCTGGGCTCTCTCTGGTCTCTCTCTGTCTCTCTCTGGTCTCTCTCTGGTCTCTCTCTGGTCTCTCTCTCTGGTCTCTCTCTGGTCTCTCTCTGCTCTCTCTCTCTGGTCTCTCCCTCTCCTCTCTCTCTCTCTCTCTCTGTTCTCTATGGTCTCTCTCTCCCCTGTCTCTTTCTCCTGTCTCTCTTTCTGCTCTCTCTCTCTCTGGTCTCTCTTTCTGGTCTCTCTCTGGTCTCTCTCTGTCTCTCTCTGGTCTCTCTCTGGTCTTTCTCTGGTCTCTCTCTGGTCTCTCTCTGGTCTCTCTCTGGTCTCTCTCTGGTCTCTCTCTGGTCTCTCGCTGGTCTCTACAGTCTATGACAGACAGATCTGTGGCCTCTCTTCTGTCAGTCTCCCCCAATATGAAAACAAAATCATTATCATTTACTTGTAAAGGTATTGATTGTGAGAGAGGAGAGAGGGGAGAGAGAAAGGAAAGAGAGAGAGACCCAGATAAACTTAAATGGTCAAGTATAGTGACTCACAGGCTCTTTCTTTATGACATGTTCTATCCTATGACACAGCCTGTTCTATCTGCACTGACGCATCTCCACCAGCAGAGGGCAGCAGAGGGACACACACTATGTCTTCAGCTTAAAGTAGATATCTGGATAAAATATTAACGGCTTATTAACCGAGCAAGCGAGGTTAATAAATGTTTTATTATGACTCTCGTCTGTGTCTTTACCAATGCTTTTGAGATATTTGTGATGTTCATGTCCGACTTGGTTTTGTGTGATACGGGCTGTGGACCGATTGTCATGGTAACGGTCTGAGATGGGAAAATATCAGACCGGTAATCAACCAATCAGAGCGCGCGTACGGTCCAAGTCATATAATATAATAAATTATCCCTAAATATGAATAAAACCCATTATATGATATTGTCTTCAAACAGAACTGGTAAAAATAAAGACATTTGTATTCAGATCAACGACAGGATCTTAGAAAGAGCTCAACAAACTAAATTCTTAGGCATCTGTATCGATGAGTTCCTACATTTAAAAAACACTGATGAATTACCACAAAATGATCTAAATATTTATGTTTTATCAAATCAGACTCTGCCTCTGGAGGCACTCCTGGTCCTGTATACATCTTTATTGAACCACATCTAAATGACTGTAACAGAATATGGAGCAACACGTACCCAAGATATTTACACAAAATACTCATTCTTCCAAAAAAAGTAATTTGAGTCATAACATTAAAAAAATAAACATAACATGGTCTGATTTCAGCGCTGCCTCAAATCCACTTTTTACAGATGAAGCTTCTACACACACACACCACACTAGGACACACTGCTTCTACACACACACACCACACTAGGACACACTGCTTCTACACACACACCACACTAGGACACACTGCTTCTACACACACACACCACACTAGGACACACTGCTTCTACACACACACCACACTAGGACACACTGCTTCTACACACACACACCACACTAGGACACACTGCTTCTACACACACACACCACACTAGGACACACTGCTTCTACACACACACACCACACTAGGACACACTGCTTCTACACACACACACCACACTAGGACACACTGCTTCTACACACACACACCACACTAGGACACACTGCTTCTACACACACACACCACACTAGGACACACTGCTTCTACACACACACACCACACTAGAAGGACACACTGCTTCTACAACACACACACACCACACTAGAAGGACACACTGCTTCTACACACACACACCACACTAGAAGGACACACTTCAACATTACACAACACTATGAGCCTCGGGCTGAGAACTGAAAACGGGAAAAGCAACTTCAGAAGTATTTATTGTTTTGTTTCCTGTATCATGATGAAGTGAATTATTATGGACCAGCCCCAGTCTGACTCTAGACCTGAGGACCAGTCCCAGTCTGACTCTAGACCTGAGGACCAGTCCCAGTCTGACTCTAGACCTGAGGACCAGTCCCAGTCTGACTCTAGACCTGAGGACCAGTCCCAGTCTGACTCTAGACCTGAGGACCAGTCCCAGTCTGACTCTAGACCTGAGGACCAGTCCCAGTCTGACTCTAGACCTGAGGACCAGTCCCAGTCTGACTCTAGACCTGAGGACCAGTCCCAGTCTGACTCTAGACCTGAGGACCAGTCCCAGTCTGACTCTAGACCTGAGGACCAGTCCCAGTCTGACTCTAGACCTGAGACCAGCCCCAGTCTGACTCTAGACCTGAGGAACAGTCCCAGTCTGACTCTAGACCTGAGACCAGCCCCAGTCTGACTCTAGACCTGAGGACCAGTCCCAGTCTGACTCTAGACCTGAGGACCAGTCCCAGTCTGACTCTAGACCTGAGGACCAGTCCCAGTCTGACTCTAGACCTGAGGACCAGTCCCAGTCTGACTCTAGACCTGAGGACCAGTCCCAGTCTGACTCTAGACCTGAGGACCAGTCCCAGTCTGACTCTAGACCTGAGGACCAGTCCCAGTCTGACTCTAGACCTGAGGACCAGTCCCAGTCTGACTCTAGACCTGAGGACCAGTCCCAGTCTGACTCTAGACCTGAGGACCAGTCCCAGTCTGACTCTAGACCTGAGGACCAGTCCCAGTCTGACTCTAGACCTGAGGACCAGTCCCAGTCTGACTCTAGACCTGAGGACCAGTCCCAGTCTGACTCTAGACCTGAGGACCAGTCCCAGTCTGACTCTAGACCTGAGGACCAGTCCCAGTCTGACTCTAGACCTGAGGACCAGTCCCAGTCTGACTCTAGACCTGAGGACCAGTCCCAGTCTGACTCTAGACCTGAGGACCAGTCCCAGTCTGACTCTAGACCTGAGGACCAGTCCCAGTCTGACTCTAGACCTGAGGACCAGCCCCAGTCTGACTCTAGACCTGAGGACCAGTCCCAGTCTGACTCTAGACCTGAGGACCAGTCCCAGTCTGACTCTAGACCTGAGGACCAGTCCCAGTCTGACTCTAGACCTGAGGACCAGTCCCAGTCTGACTCTAGACCTGAGGACCAGTCCCAGTCTGACTCTAGACCTGAGGACCAGTCCCAGTCTGACTCTAGACCTGAGGACCAGTCCCAGTCTGACTCTAGACCTGAGGACCAGTCCCGTCTGACTCTAGACCTGAGGACCAGTCCCAGTCTGACTCTAGACCTGAGGACCAGTCCCAGTCTGACTCTAGACCTGAGGACCAGTCCCAGTCTGACTCTAGACCTGAGGACCAGTCCCAGTCTGACGCTAGACCTGAGGACCAGTCCCAGTCTGACTCTAGACCTGAGGACCAGTCCCAGTCTGACTCTAGACCTGAGGACCAGTGCCAGTCTAGACCTGGACTCTAGACCTGAGGACCAGTCCCAGTCTGACTCTAAACCTGAGGACCAGTGCCAGTCTAGACCTGGACTCTAGACCTGAGGACCAGTCCCAGTCTGACTCTAGACCTGAGGACCAGCCCCAGTCTGAGTCTAGACCTGAGGACCAGTCCCAGTCTGACTCTAGACCTGAGGACCAGTCCCAGTCTGACTCTAGACCTGAGGACCAGTCCCAGTCTGACTCTAGACCTGAGGACCAGTGCCAGTCTAGACCTGGACTCTAGACCTGAGGACCAGTCCCAGTCTGACTCTAGACCTGAGGACCAGTCCCAGTCTGACGCTAGACCTGAGGACCAGTGCCAGTCTAGACCTGGACTCTAGACCTGAGGACCAGTCCCAGTCTGACTCTAAACCTGAGGACCAGTGCCAGTCTAGACCTGGACTCTAGACCTGAGGACCAGTCCCAGTCTGACTCTAGACCTGAGGACCAGCCGTCTCTAGACCTGAGGACCAGTCCCAGTCTGACTCTAGACCTGAGGACCAGTCCAGTCTGACTCTAGACCTGAGGACCAGTCCCAGTCTGACTCTAGACCTGAGGACCAGTCCCAGTCTGACTCTAGACCTGAGGACCAGTCCCAGTCTGACTCTAGACCTGAGGACAGTCCAGTCTGACTCTAGACCTGAGGACCAGTCCAGTCTAGACTGACTCTAGACCTGAGGACCAGTCCCAGTCTGACTCTAGACCTGAGGACCACCCAGTGACCAGCTCCCAGTCTGACTCTAGACCTGAGGACCAGTCCCAGTCTAGACTGACTCTAGACCTGAGGACCAGTCCCAGTCTGACTCTAGACCTGAGGACCAGCCCCAGTCTGAGTCTAGACCTGAGGACCAGTCCCAGTCTGACTCTAGACCTGAGGACCAGTCCCAGTCTGACTCTAGACCTGAGGACCAGTCCAGTCCCAGTCTGACTCTAGACCTGAGGACCAGTGCCAGTCTAGACCTGGACTCTAGACCTGAGGACCAGTCCCAGTCTGACTCTAGACCTGAGGACCACCCAGTCTGACTCTAGACCTGAGGACCAGTGCCAGTCTGACTGGACTCTAGACCTGAGGACCAGTCCCAGTCTGACTCTAGACCTGAGGACCAGTGCCAGTCTAGACCTGGACTCTAGACCTGAGGACCAGTCCCAGTCTGACTCTGACCTGAGGACCAGCCCAGTCTGATCTAGACCTGAGGACCAGTCCCAGTCTGACTCTAGACCTGAGGACCCCAGTCTGACTCTAGACCTGAGGACCAGTCCAGTCTGACTCTAGACCTGAGGACCAGTCCAGCGAGACCTGAGACCAGTCCCAGTCTGACTCTAGACCTGAGGACCAGTGCCCAGTCTGGACTCTAGACCTGAGGACCAGTCCCAGTCTGACTCTAGACCTGAGGACCAGTCCCAGTCTGACTCTAGACCTGAGGACCAGTCCCAGTCTAGACCTGGACTCTAGACCTGAGGACCAGTCCCAGTCTGACTCTAGACCGAGGACCAGCCCCAGTCTGACTCTAGACCTGAGGACCAGTCCCAGTCTGACTCTAGACCTGAGGACCAGTCCAGTCCTAGACTGAGACCAGCGTTGACTCTAGACCTGAGGACCAGTCCCAGTCTCTGACTCTAGACCAGGACCAGTGCCAGTCCTTAGACCTGGACTCTAGACCTGAGGACCAGTCCCAGTCTGACTCTAGACCTGAGGACCAGTCCCAGTCTGACTCTAGACCTGAGGACCAGTCCCAGTCTCTGACTCTAGACCTGAGGACCAGTCCCAGTCTGACTCTAGACCTGAGGACCAGTCCCAGTCTGACTCTAGACCTGAGGACCAGTCCCAGTCTAGACTGGACTCTAGACCTGAGGACCAGTCCCAGTCTGACTCTAGACCTGAGGACCAGCCCCAGTCTGAGTCTAGACCTGAGGACCAGTCCCAGTCTGACTCTAGACCTGAGGACCAGTCCCAGTCTGACTCTAGACCTGAGGACCAGTGCCAGTCTAGACCTGGACTCTAGACCTGAGGACCAGTCCCAGTCTGACTCTAGACCTGAGGACCAGCCCCAGTCTGAGTCTAGACCTGAGGACCACCCAGTCTGACTCTAGACCTGAGGACCGGTCCCAGTCTGACTCTAGACCTGAGGACTAGTCCCAGTCTGACTCTAGACCTGAGGACCGGTCCCAGTCTGACTCTAGACCTGAGGACCAGTCCCAGTCTGACTCTAGACCTGAGGACCAGTCCCAGTCTGACTCTAGACCTGAGGACCAGTCCCAGTCTGACGCTAGACCTGAGGACCAGTGCCAGTCTAGACCTGGACTCTAGACCTGAGGACCAGTCCCAGTCTGACTCTATCCCTTAGGACCAGTGCCAGTCTAGACCTGGACTCTAGACCTGAGGACCAGTCCCAGTCTGACTCTAGACCTGAGGACCAGTCCCAGTCAGGACCAGTCCCAGTCTGACGCTAGACCTGAGGACCAGTGCCAGTCTAGACCTGGACTCTAGACCTGAGGACCAGTCCCAGTCTGACTCTAGACCTGAGGACCAGTCCCAGTCTGACTCTAGACCTGAGGACCAGTCCCAGTCTGACGCTAGACCTGAGGACCAGTGCCAGTCTAGACCTGGACTCTAGACCTGAGGACCAGTCCCAGTCTGACTCTAGACTTTAGGACCAGTGCCAGTCTAGACCTGGACTCTAGACCTGAGGACCAGTCCCAGTCTGACTCTAGACCTGAGGACCAGTCCCAGTCTGACGCTAGACCTGAGGACCAGTGCCAGTCTAGACCTGGACTCTAGACCTGAGGACCAGTCCCAGTCTGACTCTAGACCTGAGGACCAGTGCCAGTCTAGACCTGGACTCTAGACCTGAGGAGCAGTCCCAGTCTGACTCTAGACCTGAGGACCAGTCCCAGTCTGACTCTAGACCTGAGGACCAGTCCCAGTCTGACGCTAGACCTGAGGACCAGTGCCAGTCTAGACCTGGACTCTAGACCTGAGGACCAGTCCCAGTCTGACTCTAGATCTTAGGACCAGTGCCAGTCTAGACCTGGACTCTAGACCTGAGGACCAGTCCCAGTCTGACTCTAGACCTGAGGACCAGTGCCAGTCTAGACCTGGACTCTAGACCTGAGGACCAGTCCCAGTCTGACTCTAGACCTGAGGACCAGTCCCAGTCTGACTCTAGACCTGAGGACTAGTCCCAGTCTGACTCTAGACCTGATGACCAGTCCCAGTCTGACTCTAGACCTGAGGACCAGTCCCAGTCTGATTCTAGACCTGAGGACCAGTCCCAGTCTGACTCTAGACCTGAGGACCAGTCCCAGTCTGACGCTAGACCTGAGGACCAGTGCCAGTCTAGACCTGGACTCTAGACCTGAGGACCAGTCCCAGTCTGACTCTAGACCTTAGGACCAGTGCCAGTCTAGACCTGGACTCTAGACCTGAGGACCAGTCCCAGTCTGACTCTAGACCTGAGGACCAGTCCCAGTCTGACTCTAGACCTGAGGACCAGTCCCAGTCTGACTCTAGACCTGAGGACCAGTCCCAGTCTGACGCTAGACCTGAGGACCAGTGCCAGTCTAGACCTGGACTATAGACCTGAGGACCAGTCCCAGTCTGACTCTAGACCTTAGGACCAGTGCCAGTCTAGACCTGGACTCTAGACCTGAGGACCAGTCCCAGTCTGACTCTAGACCTGAGGACCAGTCCCAGTCTGACTCTAGACCTGAGGACCAGTGCCAGTCTAGACCTGGACTCTAGACCTGAGGACCAGTCCCAGTCTGACTCTAGACCTGAGGACCAGTCCCAGTCTGACTCTAGACCTGAGGACCAGTCCCAGTCTAGACTGACTCTAGACCTGAGGACCAGTCCCAGTCTGACTCTAGACCTGAGGACCAGCCCCAGTCTGAGTCTAGACCTGAGGACCAGTCCCAGTCTGACTCTAGACCTGAGGACCAGTCCCAGTCTGACTCTAGACCTGAGGACCAGTCCCAGTCTGACTCTAGACCTGAGGACCAGTGCCAGTCTAGACCTGGACTCTAGACCTGAGGACCAGTCCCAGTCTGACTCTAGACCTGAGGACCAGCCCCAGTCTGACTCTAGACCTGAGGACCAGTGCCGTCTAGACCTGGACTCTAGACCTGAGGACCAGTCCCAGTCTGACTCTAGACCTGAGGACCAGTCCAGTCTAGACTGACTCTAGACCTGAGGACCAGTCCCAGTCTGACTCTAGACCTGAGGACCAGCCCAGTCTGAGTCTAGACCTGAGGACCAGTCCCAGTCTGACTCTAGACCTGAGGACCAGTCCCAGTCTGACTCTAGACCTGAGGACCAGCCAGTCTAGACCTGACTCTAGACCTGAGGACCAGTCCCAGTCTGACTCTAGACCTGAGGACCAGTCCCAGTCTGACTCTAGACCTGAGGACCAGTCCCAGTCTAGACCTGGACTCTAGACCTGAGGACCAGTCCCAGTCTGACTCTAGACCTGAGGACCAGCCCCAGTCTGAGTCTAGACCTGAGGACCAGTCCCAGTCTGACTCTAGACCTGAGGACCAGTCCCAGTCTGACTCTAGACCTGAGGACCAGTCCCAGTCTGACTCTAGACCTGAGGACCAGTGCCAGTCTAGACCTGGACTCTAGACCTGAGGACCAGTCCCAGTCTGACTCTAGACCTGAGGACCAGTCCCAGTCTGACTCTAGACCTGAGGACCAGTGCCATCTAGACGGACTCTAGACCTGAGGACCAGTCCCAGTCTGACTCTAGACCTGAGGACCAGTCCCAGTCTGACTCTAGACCTGAGGACCAGTCCCAGTCTAGACCTGGACTCTAGACCTGAGGACCAGTCCCAGTCTGACTCTAGACCTGAGGACCAGCCCCAGTCTGAGTCTAGACCTGAGGACCAGTCCCAGTCTGACTCTAGACCTGAGGACCAGTCCCAGTCTGACTCTAGACCTGAGGACCAGTGCCAGTCTAGACCTGGACTCTAGACCTGAGGACCAGTCCCAGTCTGACTCTAGACCTGAGGACCAGCCCAGTCTGACTCTAGACCTGAGGACCAGTCCCAGTCTGACTCTAGACCTGAGGACCAGTCCCAGTCTGACTCTAGACCTGAGGACCAGTCCCAGTCTGACTCTAGACCTGAGGACCAGTCCCAGTCTGACTCTAGACCTGAGGACCAGTCCCAGTCTGACTCTAGACCTGAGGACCAGTCCCAGTCTGACTCTAGACCTGAGGACCAGTCCCAGTCTGACTCTAGACCTGAGGACCAGTCCCAGTCTGACCTAGACCTGAGACCGTCCAGTAGACCTGACTCTAGACCTGAGGACCAGTCCCAGTCTGACTCTAGACCTAGGACCAGTGCCAGTCTAGACCTGGACTCTAGACCTGAGGACCAGTCCCAGTCTGACTCTAGACCTGAGGACCAGTCCCAGCAGGACCGTCCCAGTCTGACGCTAGACCTGAGGACCAGTGCCAGTCTAGACCTGGACTCTAGACCTGAGGACCAGTCCCAGTCTGACTCTAGACCTGAGGACCAGTCCCAGTCTGACTCTAGACCTGAGGACCAGTCCCAGTCTGACTCTAGACCTGAGGACCAGTCCCAGTCTGACCTGGACTCTAGACCTGAGGACCAGTCCCAGTCTGACTCTAGACCTGAGGACCAGTCCCAGTCCTGGACTCTAGACCTGAGGACCAGTCCCAGTCTGACTCTAGACCTGAGGACCAGTCCCAGTCTGACTCTAGACCTGAGGACCAGTCCCAGTCTGACTCTAGACCTGAGGACCAGTCCCAGTCTGACTCTAGACCTGAGGACCAGTCCCAGTCTGACTCTAGACCTGAGGACCAGTCCCAGTCTGACTCTAGACCTGAGGACCAGTCCCAGTCTGACTCTAGACCTGAGGACCAGTCCCAGTCTGACTCTAGACCTGAGGACCAGTCCCAGTCTGACTCTAGACCTGAGGACCAGCCCCAGTCTGACTCTAGACCTGAGGACCAGTCCCAGTCTGACTTTAGACCTGAGGACCAGTCCCAGTCTGACTCTAGACCTGAGGACCAGTCCCAGTCTGACTCTAGACCTGAGGACCAGTCCCAGTCTGACTCTAGACCTGAGGACCAGCCCCAGTCTGACTCTAGACCTGAGGACCAGTCCCAGTCTGACTCTAGACCTGAGGACCAGTCCCAGTCTGACTCTAGACCTGAGGACCAGTCCCAGTCTGACTCTAGACCTGAGGACCAGTCCCAGTCTGACTCTAGACCTGAGGACCAGTCCCAGTCTGACTCTAGACCTGAGGACCAGTCCCAGTCTGACTCTAGACCTGAGGACCAGTCCCAGTCTGACTCTAGACCTGAGGACCAGTCCCAGTCTGACTCTAGACATGAGGACCAGCCCCAGTCTGACTCTAGACCTGAGGACCAGTCCCAGTCTGACTCTAGACATGAGGACCAGTCCCAGTCTGACTCTAGACCTGAGGACCAGCCCCAGTCTGACTCTAGACCTGAGGACCAGTCCCAGTCTGACTCTAGACCTGAGGACCAGTCCCAGTCTGTCTCTAGACCTGAGGACCAGTCCCAGTCTGATTCTAGACCTGAGGACCAGTCCCAGTCTGATTCTAGACCTGAGGACCAGCCCCAGTCTGACTCTAGACCTGAGGACCAGCCCCAGTCTGACTCTAGACCTGAGGACCAGCCCCAGTCTGACTCTAGACCTGAGGACCAGTCCCAGTCTGACTCTAGACCTGAGGACCAGTCCCAGTCTGACTCTAGACCTGAGGACCAGTCCCAGTCTGACTCTAGACCTGAGTTCATGCTGTTTATTTACAAAGTGCCACAGAACCACAGTCTTTGATGAAGGACGAGACACAGCACTGTCTTAACAACATGGGTTCAAGTCTCACCTCTGATCTTCAGGACCATCTTCTCTGAAGTTTGGAACACGTCCTTTGGACCAGTCACTTTTCAGAGACTGAGAGCTGGGAGCAGGTCCAGGTCTGGGTTTAGACCCGGGGCCAGGTCCTCGTGGGTCCATGTTGTAGAGGCTGGAATCAGAACCAGAGTCACTTTGTTTCATGATATTGCTCTGTCCTGGACACAGTGCAGCAGGAGGAGACAGGAGGGCCCTGGACTAACTCACATCTGGTCTCTCTCTGGTCTCAGTCTCTCTCTGGTCCCACACTAGGACACACTGCTTCTACACACACACACCACACTAGGACACACTGCTTCTACACACACACACCACACTAGGACACACTGCTTCTACACACACACACCACACTAGGACACACTGCTTCTACACACACACACACACCACACTAGGACACACTGCTTCTACACACACACACCACACTAGGACACACTGCTTCTACACACACACACCACACTAGGACACACTGCTTCTACACACACACACCACACTAGGACACACTGCTTCTACACACACACACACACCACACTAGGACACACTGCTTCTACACACACACACCACACTAGGACACACTGCTTCTACACACACACACACCACACTAGGACACACTGCTTCTACACACACACACACACCACACTAGGACACACTGCTTCTACACACACACACCACACTAGGACACACTGCTTCTACACACACACACACACCACACTAGGACACACTGCTTCTACACACACACACACCGCACTAGGACACACTGCTTCTACACACACACACCACACTAGGACACACTGCTTCTACACACACACACCACACTAGGACACACTGCTTCTACACACACACACCACACTAGGACACACTGCTTCTACACACACACACCACACTAGGACACACTGCTTCTACACACACACACCACACTAGGACACACTGCTTCTACACACACACACCACACTAGGACACACTGCTTCTACACACACACACCACACTAGGACACACTGCTTCTACACACACACACACACCACACTAGGACACACTGCTTCTACACACACACACCACACTAGGACACACTGCTTCTACACACACACACCACACTAGGACACACTGCTTCTACACACACACACACACCACACTAGGACACACTGCTTCTAACCACACACACCACACTAGGACACACTGCTTCTACACACACACACACACACCACACTAGGACACACTGCTTCTACACACACACACCACACTAGGACACACTGCTTCTACACACACACACCACACTAGGACACACTGCTTCTACACACACACACACACACACACACACCACACTAGGACACACTGCTTCTACACACACACACCACACTATGGCACACTGCTTCTACACACACACACCACACTAGGACACACTGCTTCTACACACACACACCACACTAGGATACACTGCTTCTACACACACACACACACCACACTAGGACACACTGCTTCTACACACACACACCACACTAGGACACACTGCTTCTACACACACACACCACACTAGGACACACTGCTTCTACACACACACCACACTAGGACACACTGCTTCTACACACACACACCACACTAGGACACACTGCTTCTACACACACACACCACACTAGGACACACTGCTTCTACACACACACACACACCACACTAGGACACACTGCTTCTACACACACACACCACACTAGGACACACTGCTTCTACACACACACACACACCACACTAGGACACACTGCTTCTACACACACACATGTAAGGTGAATTAAAGGACACACTCCAAGCTGGCCCAGTCGGACATTGACCAGCGGACCGGAATGCGTAAACATGCGCTCCGGGGGGGGACGACCTCCCGAGCTACATCTGAGGAACGGCAGGGTCGGACAGAGAACTATCATCGGTCATCGAGATAATAAGCGTCAACCAGGGAGCAATAAATCAAGCACGGGACTAAAACATCTTTACCCCGTTGCCTGGCGAGATCAGAGATCAAAGTCTGTTCTCACTCCAAAAAGAACATTCCTCCCTTGGGATAACTGACGACTCACCCACGGCGTTCTGACGCCCCCCAGTGGACACTGGACACTATCACACCCGAGGTGGACACTCAAAACTGTCATTCTGTAACGATATTGTCTTGATAACCGTTACGGACCCTACCCGTATGTAACGTTGTCTGTGATGTAAATGCGCTGTGTGTCGGTATATGTGATATGAACGTTAAAAATGTGTGTGATGTGTATTCTGCCTTGTAACATGTCGGTCCAGAGAGACGCACCAAGATGACGTCATGGACGCGCCTCCTTTGGAACACAATAAAACCACACACAACCCAGAGATCGACCTCTTGGAATCCCTGAAATCAATGTGATAACCCGGGTACGTGTCTCCTACGCGACCCACGCCTGTAACCCACTTAGGCCTCTCCACCTCCGCGAGGACAGCCCACGACACCGCTGTCGGAGACCACGAGCTATCTTCACCAGCCACTTTCCGGCTCTGGACGTCTCCTCACCCCCACGCCTCTCCGTGCGCTACCCTGTTGCTACGTTGATTTCAAAGCCAATCGAGCTCCCCTGCGCCCCGCTTGCGATAAAGCGACCCCTGCATGCAAAGGCTGTATTATTATAGCCTCAAATCCCGGCTTGTATCGGGTACTACGCAACTCTCAAACGAAGCGCCTCGCCAGGCCAGTGAGCGCGACGTGAGTTGACGAAGCCGCTATCCCTCTTCAGAGCGAAGCGCACACCGCCCGCCCCACGGGAACATACAATACGCCCGTGCCCAAAACACAGGCGTACGAGACCCACCCTGTGCGCCAACCCAGGACACAGGCTGGGGCTCACAGACGCTGTCTTTATTGTGCTTGTGTCTGTTCCTTTGTGACCTCTTTCACAGTTAAAGGGATTGTTTTAACCGCACGCCACGTGCGGCCGCCGGTCAATAGTCCTGCTCCTCTGTGTGCTCTTTCACGATTAAAGAGGCTTCTACCGCACGCCACGTGCGGCCGGTGCCGAGAAACCAAATATATATATATGTATAAATGTTGTTGATGGCAGCTGTTGTATGAGAAGCCACTGTTCTGCTGGTGACCTCTGTTAACCCTGTCTCTCCCCACTCTATCTCTTCGCCTGCTCGCCACGGCACAGGCTGCTTTACACACATACACACACACCAGAGCTTTACTGCACATCCAAGCCAAACACTGAGGCCCACAAGTGCGCCATTGCAGATAGCTGTGCCTGTGCGATTCGTATAGCTCGCTGCGATACTTTTGTTGTTTAGATTGCTGCTAACCTCCTGTTTCTGCATGCTACTGGCTAAGCTACACCTCTTTTGTTGTTTAGCATAAGGCTAATTTCCGGTTCCGGTGCGCTACTTCCGGGGCTGCACTGCCGCTGTGTTTACACTGATTCTAAACCACATTCCATTACTAAGCTGATTGTTCGTTGTTATGACATTAATACTACTTTGCTATACTTCCATGCTATTCTGGTTTACACTGATTCTAAACCACATTCTACTGCTAAACTCTATGTTTTGGCGTTTAGGTTATTACCAACCTCCTGTTTCTCCCTGCTGCATGCTTTAGCTAAACTGCATTTCCGTGATTGTTTTGACTAATGCTAACGTCCTGCCTCTCCCTGCTACATGCTTTAGCTTAACTGCATCACGATTATTGTTTAGACTAACGCTAACTCCCTGCCTCTCCTCACTACCTGCCATTACTAAACCGCATTACTTGTTGTTTAGACTAATGCTAACGTCCTGTTTCTCCCTGCTACATGCTTTAACTAAACTGCATTTACGTGGTTTCTTAGACTAATGCTAGCTTCCTGTTTCTCTCTGCTACGTGCTTTAGCTACACTGCATTACAGTTTATTGTTCACACTAACGCTGACTCCCTGTCCCTCCCCACTGCCTGCTACCGCTAAGCAGCATTAATTGGTTGTTTAGACTGGTGCTAACTTTCCTGCTACCGCTACCGCTAACTGCTAATTGCTACCGCTAGTACTACTTCGGACACTGCTGCTACCGCTAGTGCTACTACAACACTGCCGCTACGCGAGTGCCCCGAACGCTATTGCCGCGCGCGTAACCAAAACCCTGCGTGCTCCAACGCTGCTAACCCCAACCCTCTTCGCTGATACGCAGGTGAAGAGGCCTGACCCCAGTCCTAGGCTACCTACTCGCATACACCACTGCAAGAAGACGACGCAGTGGTCACGGCTTTGACATACATCAAGGTTTGCACCACCACACGAACAACAGCTGAACAACCCACTCTAAAACACTACTTTCCTCCTTTCCTTCTCCCACCGTGTCATGCACACGCGCTCCAAGTCACACTCGCATACCCTCACTCACGCAAGTATGGACAACAATGGCGAGAACTCGCCACGCCTGAGCGAACACGACGGCGAGTTGGAAGAACAAGACGTAGTGGATAACTTTCTGCGTGACTTCACGGAGAAGTTATCCCCGGGGGCCTATGACAGGCTTGAAGGCGGCTCGCCCTCTGACTTACAGGATGCCACCTCCATGTTGGCATCCGAGGCTATTACAAAGAAACTAGAAGGTAAGACCCTGACCCAGTGGCTGGGACAACTAGCCGCAGTCTCCAGGATAACCTTACGCGACTCCGAAGCTCAGAAAGAAAAGCTTCAAGACACGGTAGGTGAACTACAACGGCAACTAGCGGAAGCTAGGAACTCCGCCGCAAACCGCATGGAACAACACCAACAGGTAAGTAGACGTGACTCCAAGCGCGACCATGGATCTTGATTGCGCATCGAGAATCAGGGCCGCTATGACGACCAGAACCGGTCGGGACAGTGCCTCCCGGTCACAATCCCCTCCCTCCGACTACGGCGACCCATCGTCCGATAGGGAACGCAGGAGCGTGGCCGAACTGGTAAGTATCCTCACGGGAAAAGACCAAGAGCAAGGACAAAGGCATAATAAAGAACCCAACGATGCAAATCGGAACAGGCCCCAACGGTCCGTCGACGATGGACCCAACCAAGTTGCGCGCAACCCCGACCAAACAACGGGACCGCACCCAACCACAGCCGACCCACAACACAACATCAGACGCATCGACCACTTCGACCCCAGACTCGACCCACCTACGAGCCAGACTATGCACCACACGACAGACCGCTCGCGGAACCCCAGGGACCTCTCCGTCTATGAGAGACAACCCCCTCCCAGACCCGCCGTAGCACATCGGGACATAAAATACGAAACGCATGACTACCAGACCCATAGACCCGGACTAACCGCGGACCACAGCGAACAACGGCCAACAACCCGCCAATGGGACGATAGGGACCACCACAACCATGGAAGGGACCCCCACGGTGCCCCTCCGGGAACACACATGGCCATGCTAAACAGACAAAATGACTACCTAACCCATGACTCTGGACCACCTGACGTCCATACGAGACACAGTTCAGACTACCGCCATCGGGACGAGAGGGCCCAACCTGAACATGGCAGGCAACCCTACAACGACCCCACTGGCGCACATCAGAACATGCCACCCAGTCCACACGACGTACCGCACTCTAGCTCTGGGCCGTCCGCATACGCCGCGACACAATGGCCAGCGACCCGCCATGGGAACGCCGGGGACCTCCCCAATCATGGAAGACAACCCCACGGCGCTCCCCCTGGCGCACACCAAGACTTGGCCCTAGGTCAACGGTACTACCCGGACTATAGAGGACGCAACGCCCATTACACGCCCCCTATCGGTCGAGACCCGCTCGGACCGTCCGACCGTGACTTTGACCGCATAATAATAATAATAATAATGCATCGGTTTTATATAGCGCTTTTCTGGACACTCAAAGACGCTTCACATGTGTCATTATTCATTCACTCCATACACGGTGGTGATAAACTACTGCTGTAGCCACAGCTGCCCTGGGGCACACTGACAGAAGCGAGGCAACCAGTATGCGCCATCGGCCCCTCCGACCACCACCAACCATTCACACACACACCAGACTCATTCTAGGCAATGGGGGTGAAGTGTCTTGCCTAAGGACATAGCTAGACACATAAACCGCTTTGACCTCCGGCCCGGCATGCCTACGAACACCCGGTCATACCTCCGCGACGTTGACTTCCACGCCGACCGCATACCACACGCATCTCAAGGTGACACAAAATATTCTTGATTAGACTCACGTCCAATAGAGAAGTGAATGACTTCATCGAAAGGCAACCAAAGGCCATAAAACATGACTACAATGAGCTCTGCAAACTGCTTCTACACACACACACACCACACTAGGACACACTGCTTCTACACACACACACCACACTAGGACACACTGCTTCTACACACACACACCACACTAGGACACACTGCTTCTACACACACACACCACACTAGGACACACTGCTTCTACACACACACACCACACTAGGACACACTGCTTCTACACACACACACCACACTAGGACACACTGCTTCTACACGCACACACCACACTAGGACACACTGTTCTACACACACACACCACACTAGAAGGACACACTTCAACATTACACAACACTATGAGCCTCGGGCTGAGAACTGAAAACGGGAAAAGCAACTTCAGAAGTATTTATTGTTTTGTTTCCTGTATCATGATGAAGTGAATTATTATGGAGCACGTTTGCTGCGTTGGTTTCAATGTCTGACTCTAGACCTGAGGACCCGCCAATGGGACGATAGGGACCACCACAACCATGGAAGGGACCCCCACGGTGCCCCTCCGGGAACACACATGGCCATGCTAAACAGACAAAATGACTACCTAACCCATGACTCTGGACCACCTGACGTCCATACGAGACACAGTTCAGACTACCGCCATCGGGACGAGAGGGCCCAACCTGAACATGGCAGGCAACCCTACAACGACCCCACTGGCGCACATCAGAACATGCCACCCAGTCCACACGACGTACCGCACTCTAGCTCTGGGCCGTCCGCATACGCCGCGACACAATGGCCAGCGACCCGCCATGGGAACGCCGGGGACCTCCCCAATCATGGAAGACAACCCCACGGCGCTCCCCCTGGCGCACACCAAGACTTGGCCCTAGGTCAACGGTACTACCCGGACTATAGAGGACGCAACGCCCATTACACGCCCCCTATCGGTCGAGACCCGCTCGGACCGTCCGACCGTGACTTTGACCGCATAATAATAATAATAATAATGCATCGGTTTTATATAGCGCTTTTCTGGACACTCAAAGACGCTTCACATGTGTCATTATTCATTCACTCCATACACGGTGGTGATAAACTACTGCTGTAGCCACAGCTGCCCTGGGGCACACTGACAGAAGCGAGGCAACCAGTATGCGCCATCGGCCCCTCCGACCACCACCAACCATTCACACACACACCAGACTCATTCTAGGCAATGGGGGTGAAGTGTCTTGCCTAAGGACATAGCCAGACACATAAACCGCTTTGACCTCCGGCCCGGCATGCCTACGAACACCCGGTCATACCTCCGCGACGTTGACTTCCACGCCGACCGCATACCACACGCATCTCAAGGTGACAAAATATTCTTGATTAGACTCACGTCCAATAGAGAAGTGAATGACTTCATCGAAAGGCAACCAAAGGCCATAAAACATGACTACAATGAGCTCTGCAAACTGCTTCTACACACACACACACCACACTAGGACACACTGCTTCTACACACACACACCACACTAGGACACACTGCTTCTACACACACACACCACACTAGGACACACTGCTTCTACACACACACACCACACTAGGACACACTGCTTCTACACACACACACCACACTAGGACACACTGCTTCTACACACACACACCACACTAGGACACACTGCTTCTACACGCACACACCACACTAGGACACACTGCTTCTACACGCACACACCACACTAGGACACACTGTTCTACACACACACACCACACTAGAAGGACACACTTCAACATTACACAACACTATGAGCCTCGGGCTGAGAACTGAAAACGGGAAAAGCAACTTCAGAAGTATTTATTGTTTTGTTTCCTGTATCATGATGAAGTGAATTATTATGGAGCACGTTTGCTGCGTTGGTTTCAATGTCTGACTCTAGACCTGAGGACCAGTCCCAGTCTGACTCTAGACCTGAGGACCAGTCCCAGTCTGACTCTAGACCTGAGGACCAGTCCCAGTCTGACTCTAGACCTGAGGACCAGTCCCAGTCTGACTCTAGACCTGAGGACCAGTCCCAGTCTGACTCTAGACCTGAGGACCAGTCCTAGTCTGACTCTAGACCTGAGGACCAGCCCCAGTCTGACTCTAGACCTGAGGACCAGTCCCAGTCTGACTCTAGACCTGAGGACCAGTCCCAGTCTGACTCTAGACCTGAGGACCAGTCCCAGTCTGACTCTAGACCTGAGGACCAGTCCGAGTCTGACTCTAGACCTGAGGACCAGTCCCAGTCTGACTCTAGACCTGAGGACCAGCCCCAGTCTGACTCTAGACCTGAGGACCAGTCCCAGTCTGTCTCTAGACCTGAGGACCAGTCCCAGTCTGACTCTAGACCTGAGGACCAGTCCCAGTCTGACTCTAGACCTGAGGACCAGTCCCAGTCTGACTCTAGACCTGAGGACCAGTCCCAGTCTGATTCTAGACCTGAGGACCAGCCCCAGTCTGACTCTAGACCTGAGGACCAGACCCAGTCTGACTCTAGACCTGAGGACCAGTCCCAGTCTGACTCTAGACATGAGGACCAGTCCCAGTCTGACTCTAGACCTGAGGACCAGCCCCAGTCTGACTCTAGACCTGAGGACCAGCCCAGTCTGACTATAGACATGAAGACCAGTCCAGTCTGACTATAGACATGAGGACCAGTCCCAGTCTGACTCTAGACCTGAGGACCAGCCCCAGTCTGACTCTAGACCTGAGGACCAGTCCCAGTCTGACTCTAGACCTGAGGACCAGTCCCAGTCTGACTCTAGACCTGAGGACCAGTCCCAGTCTGACTCTAGACCTGAGGACCAGTCCCAGTCTGACTCTAGACCTGAGTTCATGCTGTTTATTTACAAAGTGCCACAGAACCACAGTCTTTGATGAAGGACGAGACACAGCACTGTCTTAACAACATGGGTTCAAGTCTCACCTCTGATCTTCAGGACCATCTTCTCTGAAGTTTGGAACAAGTCCTTTGGACCAGTCACTTTTCAGAGACTGAGAGCTGGGAGCAGGTCCAGGTCTGGGTCCAGGTCTGGGTTTAGACCCGGGGCCAGATCCTCGTGGGTCCATGTTGTAGAGGCTGGAATCAGAACCAGAGTCACTTTGTTTCATGATATTGCTCTGTCCTGGACACAGTGCAGCAGGAGGAGACAGGAGGGTCCTGGTCTCACTCACATCTGGTCTCTCTCTGGTCTCAGTCTCTCTCTGGTCTTTGGTCTCTCTCTTGTCACTCACTGGTCTCTGACTCTGATCTCTCTGGTCTCTCTCTGGTCTCTCTCTGGTCCCTCTCTGGTCTCTCTCTGGTCTCTCTCTGGTCTCTCTCTGGTCTCTCTCTGGTCCCTCTCTGGTCTCTCTCTGGTCTCTCTCTGGTCCCTCTCTGGTCTATCTCTGGTCCCTCTCTGGTCTCTCTCTGGTCTCTCTCTGGTCTCTCTCTGGTCCCTCTCTGGTCTATCTCTGTTCCCTCTCTGGTCTCTCTCTGGTCCCTCTCTGGTCTATCTCTGGTCCCTCTCTGGTCTCTCTCTGGTCTCTCTCTGGTCTCTCTCTGGTCTATCTCTGTTCCCTCTCTGGTCTGTCTCTGGTCCCTCTCTGGTCCCACACTAGGACACACTGCTTCTACACACACACACCACACTAGGACACACTGCTTCTACACACACACACCACACTAGGACACACTGCTTCTACACACACACACCACACTAGAAGGACACACTGCTTCTACACACACACACCACACTAGGACACACTGCTTCTACACACACACACCACACTAGGACACACTGCTTCTACACACACACACCACACAAGAAAGACACACTGCTTCTACACACACACACCACACTAGGACACACTGCTTCTACACACACACACCACACAAGAAAGACACACTGCTTCTACACACACACCACACTAGGACACACTGCTTCTACACACACACACCACACTAGAAGGACACACTGCTTCTACACACACACACCACACTAGAAGGACACACTTCAACATTACACAACACTATGAGCCTCGGGCTGAGAACTGAAAACGGGAAAAGCAACTTCAGAAGTATTTATTGTTTTGTTTCCTGTATCATGATGAAGTGAATTATTATGGAGCACGTTTGCTGCGTTGGTTTCAATGTCTGACTCTAGACCTGAGGACCAGTTCCAGTCTGACTCTAGACCTGAGGACCAGTCCCAGTCTGACTCTAGACCTGAGGACCAGTCCCAGTCTGACTCTAGACCTGAGGACCAGTCCCAGTCTGACTCTAGACCTGAGGACCAGCCCCAGTCTGACGCTAGACCTGAGGACCAGTCCCAGTCTGACTCTAGACATGAGGACCAGTCCCAGTCTGACTCTAGACCTGAGGACCAGCCCCAGTCTGACTCTAGACCTGAGGACCAGTCCCAGTCTGACTCTAGACCTGAGGACCAGTCCCAGTCTGACTCTAGACCTGAGGACCAGTCCCAGTCTGACTCTAGACCTGAGGACCAGTCCCAGTCTGACTCTAGACCTGAGGACCAGTCCCAGTGTGTCTCTCCCTCAGTGTGAAGACCCGCTCCTGGTGTCTTCAGTAGATTCTACATTCATGCTGTTTATTTACAAAGTGCCACAGAACCACAGTCTTTGATGAAGGACGAGACACAGCACTGTCTTAACAACATGGGTTCAAGTCTCACCTCTGATCTTCAGGACCATCTTCTCTGAAGTTTGGAACACGTCCTTTGGACCAGTCACTTTTCAGAGACTGAGAGCTGGGAGCAGGTCCAGGTCTGGGTTTAGACCCGGGGCCAGATCCTCGTGGCTCCATGTTGTAGAGGCAGGAGGGTCCTGGTCTCACTCACATCTGGTCTCTCTCTGGTCTCAGTCTCTTTCTGGTCTTTGGTCTCTCTCTGGTCCCTCTTTGGTCCCTCTCTGGTCTCTCTCTGGTCCCTCTCTGGTCTCTCTCTGGTCTCTCTCTGGTCTCTCTCTGGTTTCTCTCTGGTCTCTCTCTGGTCTCTCTCTGGTCTCTCTCTGGTCTCTCTCTGGTCTCTCTCTGGTCTCTCTCTGGTCCCTCTCTGGTCTCTCTCTGGTCCCTCTCTGGTCTCTCTCTGGTCCCTCTCTGGTCTCTCTCTGGTCTCTCTCTGGTCCCTCTCTGGTCTCTCTCTGGTCTCTCTCTGGTCTCTCTCTGGTCTCTCTCTGGTCCCTCTCTGGTCTCTCTCTGGTCCCTCTCTGGTCACTCTCTGGTCTCTCTCTGGTCCCTCTCTGGTCTCTCTCTGTTCCCTCTCTGGTCTCTCTCTGGTCTGTCTCTGGTCTCTCTCTGGTCTCTCTCTGGTCCCTCTCTGGTCACTCTCTGGTCTCTCTCTGGTCTCTCTCTGGTCCCTCTCTGGTCTCTCTCTGGTCCCTCTCTGGTCTCTCTCTGGTCTGTCTCTGGTCTGTCTCTGGTCTCTCTCTCTGGTCCCAAACTAGGACACACTGCTTCTACACACACACACACCACACTAGGACACACTGCTTCTACACACACACACCACACTAGGACACACTGCTTCTACACACACACACCACACTAGGACACACTGCTTCTACACACACACACCACACTAGAAGGACACACTTCAACATTACACAACACTATGAGCCTCGGGCTGAGAACTGAAAACGGGAAAAGCAACTTCAGAAGTATTTATTGTTTTGTTTCCTGTATCATGATGAAGTGAATTATTATGGAGCACGTTTGCTGCGTTGGTTTCAATGTCTGACTATAGACCTGAGGACCAGTCCCAGTCTGACTCTAGACCTGAAGACCAGTCCCAGTCTGACTCTAGACCTGAGGACCAGCCCCAGTCTGACTCTAGACCTGAGGACCAGCCCCAGTCTGACTCTAGACCTGAGGACCAGTCCCAGTCTGACTGTAAGACCTGAGGACCAGCCCCAGTCTGACTCTAGACCTGAGGACCAGCCCCAGTCTGACTCTAGACCTGAGGACCAGTCCCAGTCTGACTCTAGACCTGAAGACCAGTCCCAGTCTGACTCTAGACCTGAGGACCAGTCCCAGTCTGACTCTAGACCTGAGGACCAGTCCCAGTCTGACTCTAGACCTGAGGACCAGTCCCAGTCTGACTCTAGACCTGAGGACCAGTCCCAGTCTGACTCTAGACCTGAGGACCAGCCCCAGTCTGACTCTAGACCTGAGGACCAGTCCCAGTCTGACTGTAAGACCTGAGGACCAGCCCCAGTCTGACTCTAGACCTGAGGACCAGCCCCAGTCTGACTCTAGACCTGAGGACCAGTCCCAGTCTGACTCTAGACCTGAAGACCAGTCCCAGTCTGACTCTAGACCTGAGGACCAGTCCCAGTCTGACTCTAGACCTGAGGACCAGTCCCAGTCTGACTCTAGACCTGAGGACCAGTCCCAGTCTGACTCTAGACCTGAGGACCTGTCCCAGTATCGTGCTTTCAGCTGTAGCACCATGGGAGCCTCCAAACTATGGGTTCATGACCTGGACCAGATGGTTCAACGTCACAGAGCAGCTCCACAGACCATCAACACCAGCTGCACATGGTTCAACGTCACAGAGCAGCTCCACAGACCATCAACACCAGCTGCACATGGTGTCACTGTGCCACAAACACTGCAGCTTGAGGCTGAAGTACATTTAGACAAATCCAGCTTCATTTATGAATAAGGTTCTGTCGACTGTGACGGGAAATGACTATTCATTAAATCAAAAACATCAGAAACGCTAAAAATCCTTAAAGTGAACACAGTCTTTGTGTCCATCCAGACACTGACACTTCACTGATAAGAACCACGTTTGTTTGGAGGAGGCTCATAAATCAGATGATAACCTGCCCCTCGTAGCCACCCTTACTCTTCCTCCTTTCTCCTCTTCCTCAGTCTGGGAAAACTGCAGACTGAGGCTTTGTTCTACAGTCTGACTCCTGGATCTACAGCCTCAGTCCTCGTTCTACAGTCTGACTCCTGGATCTACAGCCTCAGTCCTCGTTCTACAGTCTGACTCCTGGATCTACAGCCTCAGTCCTTGTTCTACAGTCTGACTCCTGGATCCACAGCCTCAGTCCTCGTTCTACAGTCTGACTCCTGGATCTACAGCCTCAGTCCTCGTTCTACAGTTTGACTCCTGGATCTACAGCCTCAGTCCTCGTTCTACAGTCTGACTCCTGGATCTACAGCCTCGGTCCTCGTTCTACAGTCTGACTCCTGGATCTACAGCCTCAGTCCTCGTTCTACAGTCTGACTCCTGGATCTACAGCCTCAGTCCTCGTTCTACAGTTTGACTCCTGGATCTACAGCCTCAGTCCTCGTTCTACAGCCTGACTCCTGGATCTACAGCCTCAGTCCTCGTTCTACAGTCTGACTCCTGGATCTACAGCCTCAGTCCTCGTTCTACAGCCTGACTCCTGGATCTACAGCCTCAGTCCTCGTTCTACAGTCTGACTCCTGGATCTACAGCCTCAGTCCTCGTTCTACAGTCTGACTCCTGGATCTACAGCCTCAGTCCTCGTTCTACAGCTGACTCCTGGATCTACAGCCTCAGTCCTCGTTCTACAGTCTGACTCCTGGATCTACAGCCTCAGTCCTCGTTCTACAGTCTGACTCCTGGATCTACAGCCTCAGTCCTCGTTCTACAGTCTGACTCCTGGATCTACAGCCTCAGTCCTCGTTCTACAGTCTGACTCCTGGATCTACAGCCTCAGTCCTCGTTCTACAGTCTGACTCCTGGATCTACAGCCTCAGTCCTCGTTCTACAGCCTGACTCCTGGATCTACAGCCTCAGTCCTCGTTCTACAGCCTGACTCCTGGATCTACAGACTCAGTCCTCGTTCTACAGTCTGACTCCTGGATCTACAGCCTCAGTCCTCGTTCTACAGTCTGACTCCTGGATCTACAGCCTCAGTCCTCGTTCTACAGTCTGACTCCTGGATCTACAGCCTCAGTCCTCGTTCTACAGCCTGACTCCTGGATCTACAGCCTCAGTCCTCGTTCTACAGTCTGACTCCTGGATCTACAGCCTCAGTCCTCGTTCTACAGTCTGACTCCTGGATCTACGGCCTCAGTCCTCGTTCTACAGCCTGACTCCTGGATCTATGGCCTCGGTACTCGTTCTACAGTCTGACTCCTGGATCCCTCTCTCATGGTTTCTCATCTGTTCCCAGTGGGTTTTAGAGTTGTTGCTGATGCAGGAGTCTGTGGAGCCCTGGTCTGGATCTAACTGAAAGGACAGAGGTGATGATCCAGGACATTCTACAACATTTATGGACCAATGGTTTTATCGTTTCTTGTGTTGAACTGTTTGATTCTCTGATCTGTGTCGGAGAATTCAAGAAACTATTGTTGTGATTTAAGTCGATACCAGAATAAATGGAATAGAATCTCAGTCCCCATACCTGAAAATCATTCAAAGGTCCAAAACACCAGAATCCAGACTCTGTGAGTTTAGCGGCTGTTGTTTCTGCAAAAGGAGGATTAACTAAATATTTATATTTATGCAGACGCCTGAACTGGTTTCAATAATTCTTACTGACTTTCTGTGAACGATACAAACTTTATTTAACTTCTCAAAGATCAGTGTTTGTCTCATACATGATATATTTAAATGTTAGATTCAGTGGATGGAGCAGTAAAAATAAGTGTTAAAAGTAGAACTCAAAATAAATAAAAATATAATTTGACAGAAATAGAAAAAAAGAAAAATTCACAAAGTTCTGACGACACAAAAGTTAGAGTCTGCTCTGGGAGGACATGGGTTCAAGTCTCACCTCTGATCTTCAGGACCATCTTCTCTGAACTCAGGAGGATAGTCTTTGGACCAGTCACTTTTCAGAGACTGAGAGCTGGGAGCAGGTCCAGGTCTGGGTCCAGGTCTGGGTTTAGACCCGGGGCCAGGTCCTCGTGGGTCCATGTTGTACAGGCTGGAATCAGAAGAGTTCATGTGAAGACTTTTCTCACAGGTTTTGACTTGGATTTGATTCATTTCATGTGTTTATTTATTTGACTGGAACAGTTTTAATGAACATGGCTGAACATCCACACCACAGAGAGTACCAAAGGTTCTTCTTCATCTGTCCTTCCAGGGACCGTGGCCACAAGGGGCGGGGTCACAGGGGGCGGGGCTAAAAGGGGCGGGACCACAAGGGATTCACACAGATACAGCAGATAAAAGCATAGGTTAACAACACACACACACAGACAGACAGACACACAGACACACACAGACAGACAAACACACAGACAGACAGACACACAGACAGACACACACACACAGACAGACAGACACACAGACAGACACAGACACAGACAGACATACACAGACAGACACACACACACACACACACACAGACAGACACACACACACACACACACACACACACACACACACAGACACACACACACACACACACACAGACACACACAGAGTCCTCTATTGCAAAATCCTGTATTGCACGCCAGTATCTGATCTCTGCTTTCTGGTCTCTCTCTCTGGTCTCTCTCTGGTCTCTCTCTGGTCTCTCTCTGGTCTCTCTCTGGTCTCTCTCTGGTCTCTCTCTGGTCTCTCTCTGGTCTCTCTCTGGTCTCTCTCTCTGGTCTCTCTCTGGTCTCTCTCTGGTTTCTCTCTGGTCCCTCTGGTCTTAAAAACACATGTTTAAGTCTCACCTCTGATCTTCACGACCATCTTCTCTGAACTCAGGAGAATCCAACTTGGACCAGAAATGTTTCACAGACTGAAAGCTGGGAGCCGGTTCAGGTTCAGGTTCAGGTCTTGGTCCAGATCCTTGTGGCTCCATGTTGTAGAGGCTGGAATCAGAAGAGTTTGGACTTGGATCTGATTGGACGTCAGACCTGTGTTTGATGGAGAATCTTACATAGAGTCCTCTTTTGCACAGTCCTGTATTCTTGTGTTTCATTAAACTGGCCTGTAGGGGGCGCATGAGCAGAGCTGGGACAGTGTTGCTCCCATTGAAAACCATGTAAAGTCTGTCTTGGAGTCAAAGGCTCTCCTCCTGTGCGCTGTACGGTTGTTGGAACAGTCTTAATCAGAGACACTCAATTCTGAGGTAGTAATAACAAATATATCTAAAAAGAGTCATGATTTTGGCATTTTTGGGGAAAAAACAGCTGCGGCTCGTTCTCACTGTTCTCAGCTCCCACATGTGACTCCCCCCCTCACCTCTGACACGTGTGACTCACCCCCTCACCTCTGACACATGTGACTCCCCCCCTCACCTCTGACACATGTGACTCCCCCCTCAACTCTGACACATGTGACTCCCCCCCTCACCTCTGACACATGTGACTCCCCCCTCACCTCTGACACATGTGACTCCCCCCCCCACCTCTGGCACATGTGACTCACCCCCTCACCTCTGACACATGTGACTCACCCCTCACCTCTGACACATGTGACTCCCCCCCTCACCTCTGACACATGTGACTCACCCCCTCACCTCTGACACATGTGACTCCCCCCTCACCTCGGACACATTGACCCCCCTCACCTCTGGCACATGTGACTCCCCCCCTCACCTCTGACACATGTGACTCCCCCTTCACCTCTGACACATGTGACTCACCCCCCCTCACCTCTGACACATGTGACCCCCCCCTCACCTCTGACACATGTGACTCCCCCCTCACCTCGGACACATTTGACCCCCCTCACCTCTGACACATGTGACTCAGCCCCCCTCACCTCTGACACATGTGACTCCCCCCTCACCTCTGGCACATGTGACTCACCCCCTCACCTCTGACACATGTGACTCCCACCTCACCTGTGACACATGTGACTCCCCCCCCTCACCTCTGGCACATGTGACTCACCCCCTCACCTCTGAAACATGTGACTCCCACCTCAACTGTGACACATGTGACTCCCCCCCCCCCACCTCTGACACATGTGACTCCCACCTCACCTTTGACACAAGTGACTCCCCCCCTCACCTCTGGACACATGTGACTCCCCCCTCACCTTGACACATGTGACTCCCCCCCTCACCTCTGACATATGTAATTTCCCCTTTACCTCTGACACGTGTGACTCCCCCCTCACTCTGACACATGTGACTCCCCCCCTCACCTCTGGCACATGTGACTCCCCCCTCACCTCTGACACATGTGACTCCCCCCCTCACCTCTGACACATGTGACTCCCCCCCTCTCTTCTGACACATGTGACTCCCCCCTCACTTCTGACAAATGTGACTCCCCCCTCACCTCTGACACATGTGACTCCCCCCCCTCACCTCTGACACATGTGACTCACCCCCTCACCTCTGACACATGTGATTCCCCCCCTCACCTCTGACACATGTGATTCCCCCCCTCACCTCTGACACATGTGACTCACCCCCTCACCTCTGACACATGTGACTCCCCCCTCACCTCTGACACATGTGACTCCCCCCTCACCTCTGACACATGTGACCCCCCTCACCTCTGACACATGTGACTCCCCCTCACCTCTGACACATGTGACTCACCCCCCTCACCTCTGACACATGTGACTCCCCCCTCACCTCTGACACATGTGACTCCCCCCTCACCTCTGACACATGTGACTCCCCCCCTCACCTCTGACACATGTGACTCCCCCCTCACCTCTGACACATGTGACTCCCCCCCTCACCTCTGACACATGTGACATGTGACCCCCCCTCACCTCTGACACATGTGACTCCCCCCTCACCTCTGACACATGTGACTCCCCCCCCTCACCTCTGACACATGTGACTCACCCCCTCACCTCTGACACATGTGACTCACCCCCTCACCTCTGACACATGTGACTCCCCCCCTCACCTCTGACACATGTGACTCCCCCCTCACCTCTGACACATGTGACTCCCCCCCTCACCTCTGACACATGTGACTCCCCCCTCACCTCTGACACATGTGACTCCCCCCCTCACCTCTGACACATGTGACTCACCCCCTCACCTCTGACACATGTGACTCACCCCCTCACCTCTGACACATGTGACTCCCCCCTCACCTCTGACACATGTGACTCCCCCCTCACCTCTGACACATGTGACTCCCCCCTCACCTCTGACACATGTGACTCCCCCCCTCACCTCTGACACATGTGACTCCCCCCTCACCTCTGACACATGTGACTCCCCCCTCACCTCTGACACATGTGACTCACCCCTCACCTCTGACACATGTTCTGGAGTAGAATTCGGTGTGCCGCAGGGTTCGGTACTCGGACCGATTCTTTTCACTCTCTACATGCTGCTGTTATGAAACATTATTAAAAAGCATGGAATTAATTTCCACTGCTGCAGATGACACACAGCTTTATCTGTCGATGAAGCCAAATCAGACAGATCAGCTAGAAAAGCTCAGTGCTGCATAAAGGACCTTAAAATGTGGATGACTCTTAACTTCCTACTTCTCAACCCGGAGAAGACAGAAGTGATCCTACTCGGTCCGAAGCGCCTGCGTGACTCCCTCACTAACCAGATAATCACTCTGATAATGTCAGTATTATACCCAGTAACACTGTGAGGAATCTTGGAATCATTTTTGACCAAGAACTCTCCTTCAAGGCTTATATAAGCCAAGCAACTAAAACGGCGTACTTCCACTTACGGAACATCGCTAAAATTAGGAATTTCCTTCCTAAAAGTGACGCGGAAAAACTTATTCACGCGTTTGTCTCTCTCTGGTCTCTCTCTCTGGTCTCTCTCTCTGGTCTCTCTCTGGTCTCTCTCTGGTCTCTCTCTGGTCTCTCTCTGGTCTCTCTCTGGTCTCTCTCTGGTCTCTCTCTGGTCTCTCTCTGGTCTCTCTCTGGTCTCTCTCTGGTCTCTCTCTGGTCTCTCTCTGGTCTCTCTCTGGTCTCTCTCTGGTCTCTCTCTGGTCTCTCTCTGGTCTCTCTGTGGTTAGAATGTATGGTGAAAGTACAAGTACTGTAGAGCAGTACTCGAGTACATGCAGGAGTAAACAGACGACACAGACTTTTGAAATAATAATAATGAGAGGATTTAAAGTCAAAGCTGTCGTACCTGGTGTGAGCCGACCACAAACACACAGAGACCAGGAGGAGCAGGAGACCAGGTGTTCACTCCGACAAACACACAGAGACCAGGAGGAGCAGGAGACCAGGTGTTCACTCTGACAAACACACGTTAATGATCAAAGATAAAGTACAGAGTTTAAAACCATGGAGAGGAAGAGCAGGATGAGCCGCTCTGGGCACATTCCAAACAACTCAGGTGACTTCAGCTGCGTTCTCTCTCTCTGGCCACTCCCTCTTTCTAGTCCCTCTCTGATCTCTATCTGGTCTCTCTCTAGTCTCTCTCTGGTCTCACTCAGCCCAAAGAGTCCCATAGTTTCAGAGCCAGGATCTAGAACATGTTTTTTTAAAGTTACGTACCCCAGCTTTAAGGTCAGTCATTATTTGTAAAGACTGTCTCAGTGTTGTAGCGTGGATTGTTCACCAGAGGGCGCCAGAGACCAGTTGAAACTTGTTCTATATTGTGCATAGTTTCCCAAGAGTCTGAGAGGCCACAGCGTTGATCTCAAATCAACATGAAAACTATGAACGCTCCAATCCTCCAAAAAGGTCCAGATATATATAATATATATATATAATATATATATAGGAGGTTCCCGTGGTGATCGGTGCACTCGGGGCAGTGACCCCGAAGCTAGAAGAGGTTACAGCGGATCCCCGGAACAACCTCGGACATCTCGGTCCAGAAATGTGCAGTGCTAGGAACAGCAAAGATACTGCGCAGAACCCTCAAGCTCCCAGGCCTCTGGTAGAGGACCCGAGCTTAGAGAGGGAGAACCGCCCGCGGAGGGCCAAAGGTGAGTGGACAATTTATTTAAATATTTTTATATATATATATATATATATATATATATATATAAGAAGGCAGCGGTCCGGAGAGACTCCACATCTTGGACCCAGGACCATGAATGGATTGGTCAGCAAAGGCCACAGCAACCACAGAAGAACTCAATGTGTGAAGAGACCATGAAGGAACAGATCAGGAACAGTCACATGGTCAGGACCAGGAGGAGCCAGCAGCTCTGCAGGAGGTTGAAGCAGGTCTCTCTCAAAATCACTGAAGCAAAAAAACTAAACAAAAATTCTCAAAAGGCACATTACATACTAAACTAGACTCAGTCAGGACTAAACTAGACTCAGTCAGGACTAAACTAGACTCAGTCAGGACTAAACTAGACTCAGTCAGGACTAAACTAGACTCAGTCAGGACTAAACTAGACTCAGTCAGGACTAAACTAGACTCAGTCAGGACTAAACTAGACTCAGTCAGGACTAAACTTTTAGACTCAGTCAGGACTAAACTAGACTCAGTCAGGACTAAACTAGACTCAGTCAGTCAGTCAGCAGCGCATGCATCATGCCAACACTTTGTAACATCATTATGCAGTAAGTATTGACAAGAATTGAGTAGTAAATAAACAAAGTAATCTCAATTAAAATAATAAACATCAATACGGCTGGTTGGTGAAAACGTAATTGCATTAAGTAAAAAACATTAGGTTTGTCTTTCAGTTTTGCTGACAACTGCTCAAAGGCACTTTGTTTTAAATATGACAGTTTTAAAATTTATTTAAAATTTTTTAACAAACAATAAAACACCCAAAATACTACGAAACAACAAAAACCGTGTCCTTAAAAACTGTCCACGGAGGCTGTTCTCAACCAGGATTTGTCTTTATAAAAGAATATTGATCTTAATAACTTGTAATTATACAATGTGACAAACATGCATCCCACTTGACAAAGACAGAAGGACCACCAGTTCATTGTAGCACTTTACTCTGTGTATTCATTGTAGCACTTACTCTCTGTGTTTTCATTGTAGCACTTTCACCTTCTCGTGTATACATGAAGCACTTTACTCTCTCTTTGTTTTCAATTGTAATCACTTTACTGTCTGTGTTTCATTGTAGCACATTACCTCTCTGTGTTTTCTTTGTAGCACTTTACTCTCTGTGTTTCATATAAGCACTTACTTGTGTTTTCAATGTAGACTTTACTGTCAGAGTTTTCATATGAGCACTTTACTCTCTGTGATTTCATTGTAGCACTATACTCTGTGTTTTCATTGTGCACTTTATCTCTGTGATTACATTGTAGCACTATAATCTCATGTGTTTTCATTGTTAGCACTATAATCTCTGTTTTTATCATTGTAACACTTTACTCTGTGTTTTCATGTAGCACTTTACTCTTAGTGTTTTCATTGTAGCACTTTACTTCTGAGTTTACATGTAGCACTTTACTCTCTGAGTTTTCATTGTAGCACTTTACTGTCTGTGTTTTCATTGTGCACTTTACTGGTCTGTGATTTCATTGTAGCACTTTACTCTCAGTGTATTCCATTGTAGCACTTTAATCTCTCTGTGTTTTCAATGTAGCACTATACTGTCTGTGTTTACATTGTTAGCACTTTACTGTCTGTGTTTTAATTGTAGCACTTTACTCTCTGTGTTTTCATTGTAGCACTTTACTATCTGTGTTTCATTGTAGCCTCTTTCTCTCTGTGTTTTCAATGTAGCACTTTACTCTCTGAGTTTCCTTTGTAGCACTTTAATTTCTGTGTTTCATTGTAGCACTTTTCTCTTTCTGTGTTTTCATTGTAGCACTTTACTATCTGTGATTTTCATTGTAGCACTTTACTCTCTGTGTTTTCATTGTAGACTTTACTCTCTGTGTTTTCATAGTTAGCATTTACTCTCTGTGTATTCATTGTAGCACTTTATCTCTGTGTTATCATTGTTGCACTTACTCTCTGTGTTTTCAATGTAGAACTTTACTCTCTGTGTTTTCATGTAGCACTATACTCTCTGTTTTCATTGTGCACTAAACTTCTGAGTGTTATTGTAGACTTTACTCTCTGTAGTTTTTCAGAGTAGCACTTTCCTCTCTGTGTTTTCTTTGTAGCAATATACTCTGTGTTTTCATTGTAGCACTATTCCTCTCTGTGTTTTAT